TTTTCTTTTGAAAAGGACAATTTGTTCATTTCTCATAGACAGGATTTATCTTATTACATATCAAAAGAATACAACTGCATATGACATTTTACTTCCTTGAAGCATTTTTACATTTAATACTTCAATTTAGTATCATAGCACCACAAGAGAGGGCAATGGGATACTGGTATTCCTGCCTCCTCCCACCCCCTGGCCTTTTTATTTTCAGGCATAGAGCTCCTGAGTAGCACAACCAGGTCTTACAAACCAATGGGCATACTACTTCATCGATGTATACAATATGTACTAGTTGGTGATTTGTGTTACATGTATCCACTAATGGTCATTCCACAGATGTGATTCACCTTTAGCGATCAAATCCACCTTAATGAAAAATCTTCATGAGAGCTTTGGCCCCACCCCAAAGATGTAATTGTTATGTTGTGCAATTGAGCACTGGGATAACAGAAGTTTCAAAAGCCCTGCAGGTGATTCTAATGTTCAGGCAAGGCTGAAAAACACTGCTACACATAAATATCAATTTTGAAGTGTATTATACTCTTATTAGAATTTTTAAAGTGGCATGGTCGGCAACAAATGCTTTAAATAAGATTCCCAGACCTGAACTACCCAAATCACTTATGTCTTCTTTCCTACTCTGCTTAAAAAATGAGGGCTTCAATGAAATGATTATGGGGCACTTGTGTGCCGAGGTATTCAGCTGCATTTTGAGCTCTTCTCTAATGCCCATAAAAATGAACAATGCATGCTCTAAAATATTGGTAACAAAAGGCAAAAACAGAATACAAACTCAATGGCCTGAATCAATGGATTATTCTGCAGGGACTGCTATATTAGGAAACTGAAAGAAAGTACTTTTCAAACCATAAATATTTTAATCACTCTCTAATTCTACTTCTTTCATATAAATAAAAAACATCCCATCTTCTGCTTCCCAAGTCTGGAGCAGCAAGAAGAGTGATGCTTTTCCAAACATTTGCTTCCAGCAGAAGCAGTAACCACTAAGCATGAGATATCTATAAACTAGTGTCCCAAGCAAGGTGGGTTGTAGGAGAAATTCCTGCATCTGCTGGAATCCGGTATTGTTTGTAAAATCAGAATTTTGGATTGAGGAATACTGCTTCTCCAGTAATGAGCTAAAGAAGGCAGATAGCTAAGTCCTTCTTACAGAACTGGGGGTCACAGGTCGACAAGCAAATCCGTCGTCCATGCCTCTGTTCAAAGTGGCAACAGTCTGAGATGGTGGCCAAGAAAGTTCAAAAGAAAGTGTGTCTCATGAAGGGCTTTTTTAAGATATTCGGAATTCGCATTTGGGGAATCTTTGGAAACAAGGAAAGCATTAAACCTACCAATAACCCCAAATCCATGTGTGTTCCTAAATTCAATAGCTTCTGCTACAAAGTTAATAGCAAGAAGAAAAGTGAATTGATTAAAATTTCAACCTTCTCCCTTTTCCAACTTATTATTTGGCAAAGTAGAGCAGTGGTTGATAGACAAGCAGCAGGAAAAAAATCAGGAAGACACTGACCTAGAGGCCCTCATACAGAGCCCATCTTTTTTCACAAGGCTGGTAGAAGCAGAACAGAGACATAAAAGAAAAGGGACATAGTTAAATCTGTACTTGAGCAACCACTAGCAGAACTCTGACTGATATTATGCTGGTCTACCAGCAAATAGAACAACAACAACAAAAAGCTCATCCGTCCATGTTTCAATATTTTAAATTGATATGCATAATTACGGATACAAATTTAATATACCTACAAATTAAACATATATTATGGTAGGCAGAAAAATATCCCCCTGCCCCACACTGATGTCCATGTTCCAATCCCTAGAATCTGTGAACATGTTACTTTACATGGCAAAGGGGAATTCAGGTTGCAGATGGAACTGAAGTTCCTAATCAGCTGACCTTAAAATAGGGAAGATTATCCTGGATTACCCAGGTGGTACAATGTAATCACAGGGGTCCATAAGAGTGAAAGATCCAAGCCAAAGAGGGATCAGAGTGATGAGGTGTGATGTGGGAAGGATAGGACCTGTGGTTGGCTGGCTTTGAAGATAAAAAGGGCAACCAGCCAAGGAATGCAGGTTGGCTTCTAGAACATGGAAAACACTAGATGGATACCCTCCCCCCCCCCCCCCCCCCTCACTTGTTACAGAAAGGAACACAGCTCTGCTGACTCCTTAATTTTAACCCATGAATCCCACTTCTGGCTTCTGTCCTATGGAACTATACATAAGATAGTACATTTGTATTGTTTAAACTATGAGGTCCATAGCAATTTGTTGCAGCAACCATAGAAAACTAGTACACACATGACAAAAGAGTACATTAACTGATACACTCTTCTGTTTACAAAACTAAGGCATGTGTAACACTAAAAAGAAAAAAGCAACCATAGCAAAAACATTTAATATGGAAAATTTAGATCCCTGGTCATTTCCATCACTGGTATTCACTCTTGACCAATGGATATGTGTGCATAGGATGAGACCCTCTGGCTCTCAGGCTTCCAGCTGCCTACTCGCAGCCATAAACCGCCATCACTACTTGGCAGCACATATGTGACACTGAACATCTACGATCGGCAGATGATGCAAAAAGACGGCACTAGGGCCACGATGAAACACTATCCCCCAAACCTGCTGAAGACATCTTGCTGAAGACAGTTTTTACAGCCATATAAGTTAACTATAAAAAGTTGCAGAGTTGACACGTCAGGGACCTCACCCTGCACAGGCAGGATATCATTACCACTGACCCAAGCACATGGCCACGATGAACCACAGGGACCTGAGAGCCATGCTCACTTCCTAAAGACAGACGCTTCTGGTCACCTTTGCCAACAATGTATTCTTGGGGCTCCATTTTGTAAACTACATGTTCTGTAGGATTTAAGCATCTAAGATCTAAGTGCTAACCGTCTTGAGTGATTCCTCTGCAGAAATTTGGTAATATTTTCCAAATATCTCAACTGTGCATATGTCAACAACAATAATATATATACATCATTATCATTGACAAAAATGCCAATTTCTGTAATTCAGAAGAAGCAGAGTGAATGACATCCTCTCAGAAAGCAGACAGACAGGATGCCGGGGTCCAACTCTTGATTTTGGCTTAGGTCATTATCTAATGGTTCCTGAGATGGAGCCCTGTGTTGGGCTCTGCACCAAGAGCATGGAGCCTGTTTGGGATTCGCTTTCTCCCTCTCTCTTTGCCCCTCTTCTGCTCCTGCTCTGTCTCCCTCTCAAAAATAAACTTAAAAAAAAAAAAAGAAAAAGCAAGCAAGCAGACACCTGATGCCAGAACACAGGCCAGCCAGTGGATTCCCTTCTCCTGAAGGGACAGGTGGCCCATGAACATAGAATCTGAAGACCAGATGGCTTTCAGAAACACTGTAGTACATGAAGAGTTGCTCTGATCCAGGGGCAGAGTAGCCTTGACCATTTCAGAGACTTTTTAACTCTCTCTCTCTTTTTTTTTTTTTTTGGCTTGATTTGTACGAACGTCTCCCTGCTCCTTCACTCCTCTTTCCAGAGGATGATTTGTACCTGAATTGCCACGTCCCTCCTAATCAAGTGAAGTACACTCAAGAGGCTACAGAATTACTGGGTTTCTCTCCTTCACCTCCCTTCTTCAATCATACCTGTGCCTGTGCATTGCTGCTGAGACCCTTGGCAGCTCCAGTTGTAGCTTACGCATCAGGGCTCTCCATGTCACTGGGGCCTATTTCAATGGATTAAATAGATGGCCCAAGGTGACCAAGATAGAATGGCATTTGTCTGCTACAACTGCAGGTGAGATCATTATGCTGATGGGGACAGTCAGGTTAGAACCTAACTGAGGCTCAGCAAAGAGTATCATTTCCTCTTCATGGTTTCCTTTCTTTTCAACTGCTATCAGTTCCAGGTGCCACAAACCAGAAACATGGTGGTAAAGAAGGATGGGCTGTAAGTTCAGAGGAAAGGTGACAGGGAGGTAAAGACCAATAAGAACATGAAGCACAGTTGGAATTCTGACATTATATTATGCCCCAAGCACAAGCTATGAAGTCCCCATAGGATGACGGTGAGGTCAGACCCTTTGACTCTTAGCGACAACACTTACATGCCCAGTACCAGGTCAGCAGGTATGGGTGATGGAGCCAAGCAAACCCAGATCCATAAACAGTAGCAAATTAAAAGTACTGAAGACCTCTCCCAATATACCTCTCCTGAATACACCTGTCTCAACCATCAGTTATCATTAGCGATGTGATTACTGTTAACAAGGCCTTTATCTAAGGATAAAGATTTTGTTTATCGTGAAAAGTTTACATGATACTTCTGCCTTCTCTAAGTTGGTCAACACTCTTCTTGGTACCCAACATTCACTCACAAACAGAAATGGGAAATTTACACTCTTATAGAAAACCAAAGAAGACATCCGTTCAAAGAATCAAATGCTTTCTGCAAACTAAAAAAATGTTCCATATAAATTTACTAAACTCCCTGAAAGAGATTTGCATTTTAATAAAAACTCTTTTTGATACAGCAAAGCGCAGATTATCTCAACACATGCATAATCCACAAAGAAACCAAGTTACCTAGAAAGAGACGCCTTCCTGATCTCATTCTTTCTCCAACAGCCACTGCACAAGGGGAGAGAGAGGCATCCAATGGGTGTTGCAATAACAAGGCATCTGGACTCATGCCGGAATAAGTTACTCTAGATAATATTTTTCAAGAAAGGGTCTCTGCTGGTGGCTCCAGTTTAGTTAGTCAAAAGGAACAAAACTGCTCCAGGCTTATCCCTAGAGAGATGAGAACATCGCCAACACAAGCTTCCCATCTATACAGGTATGTCTTCCTTTTTTCATTTACAAGGCAACCTAAAAATCACAGTTGTCCCCATTCTCCTGATCTGCCTTCCACACACAGTTAAGGAACCATACAAAGGTGAGGCTCCTTGGGAGACAAAGGAAGCTGCCTCTGCCTCAGATTCACCTCACCTTGTTGAAGTCTTCAGAAGTTGCCCTCATTTCCTTCCATGTCTTGTTCAGGAGCTGGATACAGATGCAGAAAAACTCCTCAAAGGATCTGTCATGGGTGAAGAACATTGGGTGGAAGTCGTTGCAGGTCTCACTAGCTGGAGGAAAGAGAAGGGAAATAAGAGAAAGTTTGCAGAGTGAAATGAGAGAACACAGCCACATGTGGGTGTCCCAAAGAGAGATGATGGGAGGAATGTTTGGCTCAAGCCACGGTGGAAGTAAGGCATTTTGAAAAAGAAACCTAATGATAGTGTCCATGGGCAACTGTGAAGTTGAAGGTCAGACGGTCAGACCTATCCCAAGGGACATATTTTGACTGAAGGAAGTCAGCTCCTAACCCACCCTAAGACATGAACTTATAGCTTTTGTTCCAGGATCCCTGGTGTTGAATATGGGCTCTGTATCTGCCTTTTTGACGTTATAAAGATGATTCAAACTGCCTTCAGTCATAGCTCCATCACTCTTAATTTCTCCTTTCTCACCAGAATAACTGGCAGAGGATGAGCTTTCCCAAGCACACAATTAATTGCAATTTTGAAAATAGCATCCTCGATTATTTCTCCAGGGGGCTCTTTTCCCTCTTATGGCAGTAAGCAGGGGAACATTTAAGATCATATACCATCTGATGCCATTAACCATTTGTTTTACATCTCCAGACACAGATGGCTGGAGGTCAAAGCAACCCAAATGGCTCTGAAGGCCGTGAATGGTCCAGTCCTGGACCAAACCGTGAAATCAGCCAGACTGCCTTCCTGCCTCCCCGTTGCAGGGTTTCTGCACATCAGACCCAGTGCTCTGAGCTCGAGCTGTGCCTATTTCTCTCCTTCTTCCCAGAACAGTACCGCAGCCACTCCCTTCTTCCCTAACTGTCAAGCTTACATTTTTGTAGTCCTTTTACATACATCTCATTTGATCTTTACAATGCCTCTTATGGTTCATGCCTTATTGATGAGGACACTAGAAAGAGCCAGATTTTGTGATTCCCCCCAAAAACAGTACCATAAGTTTTTTTTTTTTTAAATATAAGCTGTATGTATAGCAAAATAGTTCCTATTTTAATCAGAATCTCTTTAAATGCCAATTAGTCTTCAGGGTTCCAAATGGTAGAATTTCAAGCCCTAGAAGCCCGGGAGAGGAGTGGCTGCAGGGCGTGAATAGGGCTTACAGCAAAGACCTTATGTACTTGTGGAAAGCCCTGTGCCTGCCATGTGGTTGATTCTGCTTGGAGAGAATCCTCTGGTGCAGGCCCAGCAATTGAACCCTAATCAAACCTAAGCAAACACACTCTGCCCTGGCAAGGCCACAAGTTCTTATGTCCCAAGCTCCTCTATCTTAGTGGATTCCAGACCTCTATAAGGGTAGATATAAAGCTACACAGAGGCTATTTTATTCCAGACAAGGTAAGGGCACAGACTAGCAGCAACTTGTAGTCATGTAGAAAAGGTTTGGGTCTGAGGGCAGAAGAAGATGTGGGTTTAAGTCCAGCCCATGCCAATCAGGAGCAAGCCACTTCCTGAGCCTCAATTTTCTTTTCTTTTCTTTTTAATGTTTATTTATTTATTTTGAGAGAGAAAGAGAGAGAACTCTCGGCAAGCAGGGGAGGGGCAGAGAGAGAGGGAGAAAGAGAGAATTCTAAGCAAGCTTCCGAGCCGTCAGCGTGGAGCCCAATTCAGGGCTCCATCTCACCAACCGTGAGTGAGGTCATGACCTGAGCTGAGATCAAGAGTCTGAGGCTTACCCAACTGAGCCACCCAGGCACCCCATGAGCCTTGATTTTCTTAACTAAAAAAATGGAAATGAAATCTCCTTGTCCTTCTCCACTGGTTTCAGAGAGATAAAATGACATGACTCATGGGCAAGTGCTTTGAAAGGATAAAAGTTGTCACCAACATGGAGCAAGGTGGTGGTGATGATAAAGAATGTTGTGCCAGCGTTATCATTTCCAGGAACATGGGTTGTTCTTTGATTTCCCCCCAGCTCCTAGTCAAGCCTGTTCACATCTGAGAAATCAGCAGCAAGAACATATGTCACCCCAACCCCCAGCCTGTGTTACTGGCAGAAAAATGGCAAAAGTGAAGTTCTGACCTGGGACACAAAGCTATTTAAAGAACTTGGAATGTAAACACAGGTGGATTGTGTGTTTGTTGCCCTGGGCAATGAGCTGTCAGTCTCACTTTCCCAAGCACTGAAGCCAATGGAATTTACAAGTCCACAGAAGCACTCTAAAATACTACTGCCATCCAAGTACTCATTATTAATCACATTATCACAGTATCTTTTGGACCCAGTGCGATTATGTGTGTACTTTATGCCCTAGTTAAAGTTTTTATGGGATTACTGAAGCTGAGATAACCAAACAAAACTGAGACCAACAAACCCTGCACTTGCTTAGGTGAAGAGGGAGGGAAGGAACGTCATTAATAATAAAGAATATTTATTGGGTGCATATAATGCAACGGGAGCTCTACTGGTATTCCCCTCCCAACAACCTGGTAGGTAGGCATGATGGTTATCCTCATTTTATATATAAGGAAGGTAAATCTTGGAGAAATTACACCTTCCATCATGAGCTTTCTTTAGGTGGCCCTAAATGAGCATTTGAAACCTGCAGTTTAGTTGACCCAGCAGGCTTCCTGCATTAGTTGACAAGAGCTCAGGACACTTCCTTATGACTGCTGCTTTGAAAATTAACTTCTCTACCCACTCTCCCAGATCTTCTTGCACTGCTCCTTCAACAGAAACCAGGATCCTGACCCCCCAGTCCAGTGGGACTCACAGCAAGTGTACAGCCAGCACCTGCTGATGGACAACATCTAGCAATGTGACAGTACCAACAACAGCCACTGCCAGACAACAGCCATACCACTGCCACAGCCATATGTCAGGCACTAGGTCTACATTGTTGTTGTTGCTACAACAAGCACATGAGGAAGATATTATCAATTTCTTTTTTCTTTAAATTAGAAATAGAGTTAGATGGATGGGGAAGAGAAAAAAGAAAGAAAGAGTTAGAAAGGTTAGGTGACTTGTCCAAGGTCACAGGTCACAAGGCTTGCAAGTGGTGGAGCTGGGATTCCAACTGCCATAATCAAAGCCCATCATTGTCTGTTGTTCTCATTTTCTCATTCTGTTTCCCAATTAACTCTTCCTCTATTGTGCCTCCCCCAGCAATACAAATATTAAAGTACTGCTTTTATATCCAGAGAAGATATTTATGAAGTAAAATCTTACAAGTAGCATCACCTTAACTATTAATGCTTAGAGTATATTTAGAGTCTAGGATTCCTCTGCTTTCTTCCTACTAGTCCTGATCCAAGTAGAGTTGGATTCAAATCACTGGGTCACACTCCTCTTCTAGATCTTACCTTTCTTTTCCCTCGGTCAGGTCAAGCTGCACTCCTGACAACTCTTTTTTTTTTTAATTTTTTTTTAATGTTTATTTTTGAGACAGAGTATGAGCAGGGAGGGGCAGAGAGGGAGAAATAGAATCTGAAGCAGGCTCCAGGCTCTGAGCTGTCAGCACAGAGCCCAACATGGGGCTCAAACCCATGAACGGTGAGATCATGACCTGAGTCGAAGTCAGACGCTCAATTGACTGAGCCACTCAGGTGCCCCCTGACAACTCTCTTGAATACACGACATAGTCTACCTGGTTCTAGCTTTTAGTCAACCAACTCTTTCATCTTCTCAAGATATTCTCAGCCTCTGGAACACACCAAGTTTCCCCTAGATAGTCAGTCCCCGGGGAAGAGTCACAGTGGATGAATTTATTTGACCTACTTCAAGAAATTAACAGGTTGGGTTCCATGTTAACAAACCCCAAATTTGTTCATTGCAACAATGCACCCACCTAAAAAAAAGTACAATTTCTAGTCTCTCTTAAGAGTGACCATTATGTCCCAATCACAACCAATGATAGATACAGGGAAAGTGCTGGGTAGATTTTCCAGGAAAGACCTTTACAAGAGGAAGGACACTTGACTGGCTTGTTCATTTTTCCTCTGCCTTCACACCTCAACTTCTTCAGGTTCAGAACACAACTTCATGTCCAGCACAAAAATGAAGGCTATGCCTTAGAGTAGACAATTAGAAGGAGCTCCTGATGGCACTGTGGAATCACCATATCAATCCTGAATTGAACTCCTAAGGAATTCCTTGTATATGATTTGTTTAAGTCACTGTTTCCAGGCTTTCTATTACTCTTAGACACATGAAATTACTGATGTGGAAACCTAAACTCATGCAAGCACACGGATATTAGCATAAGAGAACACATGCTCAAGATTACCAGAGGCTGGGGAGAAAGGAGAAAGTAAGAATGAGGAGGCAGGATGGTATAATGGTTACAGTCAAACAGAACTACATTCAAAGACCAGATTTGATGCTCCCTAGCATACTATGTAGCCTCAGACAACGAAACTCCCTGAATCTGTAAAATATATGACCTTATAAGATTTATAACCATCAAATTAGATTATGTTTATAAAATATGTGATAAGATACCTAGCACATAGATAGGTTTAGTAAACAATGGCTATTAAGTATTATTTTTGTCATCATTATCATTGCACTATATGGCTTCTTAAAGACTTTAACATTTCTAGGAGATAAGGAAGGGAAGAAGAAAAATCTGGTGAATGGTCTTTGGGATCCTATTGATAGGGAGGGGTTGGGGCCAACCAATCATTCTTGTTGATTAGGTCAAAATCCAGTGGGAAGTTCAGGTCCTAAAGCTGAAATGTCACATGCTGAGTGTACATGCACCCATCAACACTGGCCAATCAACACTGTCTCCAGAGAAAAATAGCACCTGACTCTTTCCCACTGGGTTGTATTCTGAAAAGAATATAAATTTCAGAATCAGGTAAGCACTGATTTGAATTCTCATTAGGGCTGGTGATACAAGCATCTCTCTCCTTGGCTTCCTCATCAGTAAGATAAACATGCTACTAGTTACCTCCTAGGGCTATAGAAGGTGAAGTGTCTGGCAGAGGCTGGGCCTTGACACACAGTAAGTCTAAGTTTCCATCCTCTCCTTCAAACCTCCAAATAATATGCAAGTCTCATAGGTTCTTTTAAGCTGGTAATATAAAAAATG